CAAACCAAAACCCAAACAGATCTGTGACAACCACGTGCAGTAACTTACAAAGAAATGGAGGAAGCATCTTTATGTTGACTGACAACTTTCTCAACTTGTCTGTCACCTTAGGAGATCAACATAGGGTAAAACCACTGCAGCAAGAAATTAAGGGATAGTGAGATAGCTTCTCAAAGCTTTGACTTCCTAAAAAAAAAAAAAAAAAAAAAAAAAAATCTTTGCGGCCCCCATCACAGATCCTGTGGTTTTAAACAGCTCTCGGGGAAATTTAATCCACGGGCCTGTGTTTAAACACTCAGGATATTATTATGTAACTAAGCAGCTGGGAGATTAATCGTGATTAAAAATAAAAAGGGAAAACACAGTGCACCCAGGCAGGACTGTTTGATGAGAAACGGGTACCTTGTTGGGAAACCGTATTTGTAGGGGGACGAGCAGTCACCCGAGGAAGACGCTGCAGCTCGCGTCTGCCCCGAGAGGTGCTGCTGACCCCAGGCAACGGGACACCGGCATTGCGGCCCCCACACCCCGCAGCGTATACACGACTAGGAGTACCAGGGCCGCTTGCAAGTATTAATTTTCAGATTTCATGCCCAGTCGTAAGGTGCAAGCAGCTGCAGGTGCCTGCCTCCCCTCCGTCCTCACACGCGCTTCGCGGTGGGAGCGGCACCTGCCGTGTGGCCCTGGGCGCCCCCAGAGCCCAGCCCCGCGCCATCCCGACTGCAGAGCTGCGTGGGGCAGCACGGGCGTCGGGGCACGTCCTGGGGCAAGTGGAAGGATGATTACAACTTGGTCTGCGCTGAGAACTCGGGGAGAGGGAGCACGTGGACAGCCATCACTGTGTGGGCGCTCCGCTGCAGGAAGGGTGCTCCGCCGCAGGAAGGGTGCTCTGCCGCAGGAAGGGTGCTCCGCCACAGGAAGGGTGCTCCGCCGCAGGAAGGGTGTTGTGCCGCAGGAAGGGTGCTGCACTGCAGGAAGGGTGCTCCACTGCAGGAAGGGTGCTGTGCCACAGGAAGGGTGCTGTGCCGCAGGAAGGGTGCTCCACTGCAGGAAGGGTGCTCCACTGCAGGAAGGGTGCTGCGCCGCAGGAAGGGTGTTCTGCCGCAGGAAGGGTGCTCCACCACAGGAAGGGTGCTGCACTGCAGGAAGGGTACTGCACTGCAAGAAGGGTGCTTTGCTGCAGGAAGGGTGCTCCGCCGCAGGAAGGGTGCTGTGCCGCAGGAAGGGTGCTGCGCCGCAGGAGGGGTGGTCCACCGCAGGAAGGGTGCTGCGCTGCAGGCCAGCTCCAGGAGGACATCACCCGGCACCCCACATACACAGCTTCTCCAGCACCCACGGGAGCTCGGAGGGTGAGTGAGTCACACGGGCCGGGCCCAGGCCGAGGGGGTACCGTCCGTGCACACTCAGTGTCTCGCTCCTACGGACCCGCACCTGCCAAGCACCCGGGCCTGCGGGCCTCGCTGGGTCCAGGCCGGGGCGTGACTCCCGCGGACACGGACACGGACTCGCCGGCTCAGGGCAGCACCAAGTCCCCGACCTGGGCTCCGTGCGGGGGTTACTCACCGTCGCCTCCCCGTCGCGGGCACGGACAGGCCCCACTTGGCCCATTTACCAACGGGCCGCAGCAGGCCAGGGTCCCGGACGTCGCTGAGGTCCCGCAGGGGGTCTGGACCCCCAGGCCCCCCGGCCCACCCTCTCCGAGCTTGAAGGCGGCTGCCGCTGCGCACCGAAGCCCTTGAAAGGTCCCTATCCCGCTTCCAATGCTAACGGGCCATGTGGCCGCCCAGCAGGCCTCCTCCTTGGCAGACACGGTGCTGGTGGCAGGCGACACACACGTCCCGCCTCTGCTGGTTCCTGAGCAGAACCCCGCGCCCTGCATGTGTCCCTGTGTCCGGGTGAAGGTCTCAGCTCCCCCTCGGAGGCTGAAGCTGGCCCAGGAAGGCCCCGCGACTCCGGGGAGCCCCCCGCCCCCAGCTCGGGGTATTAGTGGGTTCTTGCTGAGTCCTCCTTACGGGTACAAGCGGGATGTTTTGTTTGCAGCAAGTGTCTCCGTGACGTTTACCGGCGTGTGGCTCCTTCTGGCCAAGGCGACGGGTTACTGGGCCAGCGTCTTTAGAGAAATCCGATTTCCGAGAGCTGAAGCAAATGCAAGGCCCTCGGGGCTGTGGTGAAAAGCTAAGTCCCAACCCTTTGATCTTCACGCAGATGTTGCACTGGCCCAGGGATGTGGCCACGTTTCATTCACAGACTTTCCCAAGAACTCTGAACGTGACGTGGTTTTTACTTCCGTCAAAGCAAAACACCAGGAGCCTTGACCTCGGCTGTCGACTTCGCCCCCGGCCTCGCTCCTACTGCTCCCGCAGCTGGGCCTCCCCGCGTCTACACCCCTGCCCAGACTCGGGCTCCAACTCAGCCGGCCTGACGGGGCTCACGCCACCTCCTGAGCCCGAAGTGGCGACAGGTCTCTCCTGGACCGGCCCGCGCCCAGCGCTTGGTGCCCATCTCCGTCGCCTGTTTGTTTCCCTTTCACCTACTCTGGGGCTAGAACTACACCTTTTCACCTACTTTGTACCCGGAAGACCTACAGTCATACTTCGGAGAAAAGCTGTGCCCGTGCGCTTTTAAACTTGGCGGTTTAAGATCTCGAGAACGGTAAAAAACACAGGCGCCGGCATCCAACAGAAGGGCTGCGGGCTCGGCATCCAACCCCAGTTCCGATGGCTACGTGACCGTGAGCTTGACGTCTCCGAGGCGGTTCCATCCTTTGGAAATAAAGACTTACCTCTCCGCGAAGATCAGTGGATAAGGGGGGGCAGAGCTGCCACGGATCCAAATTTACGCTCAGCTGCGTGTTAGCCTCGGGAGCAATTTCATTTTGTGAAAAGGGGACATTTAATCAAAAAGAGAGGAAGGAAACTGCCGAGTAGGAATGACTCAAAACCTGTTTTTATAAGGACACGTAAGTTCACCTACATCGAGGTTAATCTGCAGTTCGTGCCTAACGTGCTATCCGTTGCTCTTCACATGGGCAAGAGCAAAACGCATCTTCAAGGGTTTGGACATGTATCGGATCCTTTGAAACGCCCCCCCCCCAAAAAAAATCCTAAAAATTAAATGATGTTGGCCCCATCCAGGGAGCGTCTTCTGTGCCATGAAGTCAATAGGGCAGTAAGTGTCCTGAGCAAGACCCCGTTTTAATCTCGAGGAGACTGGAAACAGTGGTTCATCCAAATTTTTAAGCATCAAATTTAGAACGGCTCAGAGGGTATTGTGAAGTTTAGTTACTAGTAAATCGGCGCCTGAGCCGGCGAAGAGTCCAGTGATCCATGTCGGGTTTTTTTTTTTATTTTTATTTTTTGATCCACGTCCTTCAAACCGTTCTGTGTAAGGCCATCAGACGGGGACCGAGATGCTTAGCACTGACCGCGGCCGGACTTCAGCAGACAAGCCGGGCGGCGCCTCCTGGGTCTAGGACCCTTGAGCTCAGCGTCCCAGGGCCCAGGGTGTCCTGGCGCTTGCCTCTCCAAAGCCACAGAATTAAACAAGAGGATATTCCCTTGGCGTCGGGGCCAACTAGGAGTGTAAGAGTGCGCGGATGTGCGCAGGCACGCGGCCCATGGCTCAGCCTCTACTTGCTCTGGACCAGACGCCACCCAGGGCGGGAGGGCCCACGACGCATCCGACAATGTACGCTCACCCTCAGGCAGCTCCCAGGTCGAGTTTTATCTGCAAAGATGGTGTGTTAAGCCGGCGGGGATTCAGATCGCAGGTTTGGGAGAGGCAGACAGAAGAGCAGGGGAGCAGGGGGCGCTGGGAGGACACAGGCCCGCAGGAAGGGGGCCTTGGCGGGCGGAGGACAGCCCGCGGTGCCAGCAGCGCCCGCAGTTGTGTTCTGCGATCAGTAGGTATTTTATGATTAGAAATTCTGAAGTCCCCAGACAATCCTTATTTCTTTTTAAATATCAAATGAGAAGGTTGACGAGTATACAGCACAGAGTTTATCACTGGAAAGCTCAAGCACTACACTAGTTTTCAAAAAATGTAGTATCCCTTTTATTTTTAATTTTTATTTTTTTTTTTACAATTTTATTTATTCATGAGAGACACAGAGAGGCAGAGACACAGGTGGAGGGAGAAACAGGCTCCATGCAGGGAGCCTGACGTGGGACTCGATCCCGGGACCCCAGGATCACGCCCTGGGCCAAAGGCAGTGCTAAACCCCTGAGCCCCCCAGGGATCCCCCTCCCCTACCTTTAAAAAGATTTTAATGATCTTAGCGCACGAGCACAGGGAGGGGCAGACGGGGACGCAGGCCCCCACCCCCAGCAGGGAGCCCAATGTGGGCTGGATCCCTGGACCCAGGGTCAGGGCCTGGGCAGGAGGCAGACGCTCCCCCGACGGGTGCCCCAGCAGTGCCCCCTTGACGACTGCTCGGTTCCACTGTGGCCGTGTGACCAGTGCACGTGTGGATTCAATCTGGGCCGCGATCATGATGCTGAAGGGCGGAGAGCAGAGCCACGGCTTAGAAGCGGCGGCCCTCAGCCCAGCCACACCTAACGCCCAGCGAGGGCTCCGGCCCTGGACCACGGGAGCTTGCCTCCACGGGTGAAGGTTCACGGCATGGTAACGGGGCACTTTGGGCCGGAGAGGCTCCTCCTGACCCCGGTGGAGGCACAGCCCCCGAGCTGGGGCCACTCCACTGGGCACCAGGGCACTAGCGCTCCTGCCCTCGCTCTAGGTCAGGACAGAGACGGTCCCAGTCCTGCCCCCTGGTGGCTGGGGCACAGCCTGCAGCCTCCGTGTGGCCACGGGGGACTGGACCGGACTTGACCGTGCCCCTCTGGGGGATCCCCGCAGCACTGGATGGGCACCCTGCCCGGCAACGGCTCAAGTCTGAGAGTCACACACCCATCCTAAAGGTTTGTTACTTCCTGAAGTCAACAGCCAGGTCCTGTTGTTGGTAAACAAGAGCCCTAACTCCCAGACTAAAAAAATAAAAGTAAAGAGCAGCGCCGTAAAGTTACTTTAATATCTTTTTCTCCACGACTGAATATACAGTGATAAGGGGAGTAGCGTATCCTTCTGCTGTAAAGACGGGTGGAATATGTCAAAATCCACCTGCTGGATCCTCTTTAAATAGTTCTCCAGGGCAACCTGGAAAAGGAGAATAATGGCCATTAGGTAATAGAATTACTAAGTTTTTTAAAGAAACTGAAGAAAACTTGTAAGTATTCAGGCTATTTTAGTTTCCCTGAATTTAAATGAGAATTTTAAAGGGCAGAGAGAAAATAAAGACATCTTAGAAGTTTCTATCAGACCAAGTAAGGCAGGATCCAAGAGCGAGTACTAGAAATATCAAGCCAACTCTGATCATGATTTATAGAACATAAGTTTATAATTTGTTTTACACACAATGTACTCAATCACGGACAATGAATGCCACCTCCCCCCCCAACACACACACACACATACTGTGCCATGAGGACGAGCGTAAGTTGTTTAAAAACTTATTTTGTGGAAAAGTTTAATGAGTCTCCATGTTCTTGCTAGAAAACAATGTGCTGCCTCGGAGAACCACTGCGGGCCCCTGTAAGTGTCACCCCACACTTCCCCCGTCACACAAAACTTGATCTTAAGCTTTCGTGGGGATTAGGGAGCAGGATGGAAAAGATGGTGATGGGCCAGGCTCTTTATTTTATGGTTTTCAGTTCTTTTTATTAATTCGTACTTTTTAATTTATTCTGGTAACTTGAATAAACAGAGAAGCCACTTAGTGTTGCACGGCATGGTCCTAAGAGGCATGTCGAGCCTTTCAGTCCACCCGCCCAGCTCCCCTGCGGTCTGCACTACAACCTGTGTGCTCCAACACTCACGGGGTCCTGCTGTGGGTTTGCTGGAAGACTCAGATGAGCCAAAAGCCAAAAAACAAAAATGGACTGTATTTTCACCCAGGCTTTTTTTCCCCTACACACAAATGCACATACAAATTTAGTGTCTACATTTTAAACCCTAAACTTACACGTACGTATGAGCAACAGGACAGGTGCATGAATGTGCATAGCTCTGCCTTGTGCTGTCTTAGTAAAAAACCTGCAAACAATCCAGGTCTTTGACAAAAAAAAAAAGTACTCTTCACACAATGCAATATACTGCAGTGAAAGGTGTGACAGACGACATAAAGCTCAAAAACAAAACTAAACGATATATTGTTTAAAAACAGATCAAACAGGGAAAAGCCCCTCCCCCCCTTATTTAAATTTTATTTATTCATGAGAGACACAGAGAGAGGCAGAGACACAGGCAGAGGGAGAAGCAGGCTCCATGCAGGGAGCCCGACGAGGGACTCAATCCCAGGTCTCCAGGCTCACGACCTGGGCTCTAGGCGGTGCTAAACCGCTGAGCCACCCCGGCTGCCCGGAAAAGCCCTTTTGAAGCAGAATAATGAATTCAAAATTCAGGAAAGCTACTTGGGGGAGGCAGGCAGAGGCTGGGGGATGAGACGGGGATTAAGTAGAGGACTGCGGTTTAATGGTGATATTCTCGTTCCTGGACCGAGTGGTGAGCTCATGGGCGTTCACGACGTTGCGCTTTGTAACACACACATATTTATTTGTAGATATCAAATACTAAATTTTTAAAAGAGAATGAAAAAAAAATTTCGGGAGATATTTTAGTGTACTTTCACATGTTCCCTTTTTTTTGGGAAAAAAAGCTCGTTATTATTCATGATGTTCTAAGTGATAAATATTTAATATTTTGTGATCTACTTTCTATCTCTAAGAATTCTACTATGTTTGTTAATATCTAATTATAAGGACTGGTTAATGAAATTAAGGTAGTCAGCACATGATAGACTATTGTGTAGCCATGAAATATTGTATTTATAAATATTTTTAATGGTGTGGCCAGATGCTTGTGAAGTAGGACGACATGCAAAGTGTGATTTCAACTCTACACAAAAATTCATTAAAAAAAAAAAAAAAGAACAGAACAAGCAGTGGTTATGTCTGTCCTGGCATTATAGGTGATTGTTCTTTCCTTCTCCTTTTTCTTATGTTGTCCAAATCTCTGTTCTGAGAATGTCATTTTCAACAAACTAGGAGGAAGTTCCATTAAAGTACAGATGAAGGGGCAGCTGGGTGGCTCAGTTGGTTAGGCATCTGCCTTCAGCTCAGGTGGTGATTCCGGGGTCCCAGGAGGGAGCCCAGGGTCCTGGAATCGAGTCCCACATCTGGGTCCCTGATCAGTGAGGCGTCTTCTTCTCCCCCTCACCCCTGCTCATGCGCTCTCTCCCTCTCTCTCCTCTCTCATAAATTAATTAATTAAAATAAAATAAAATACAGGTCAAACATGACTTCAAAATCAGAGCTCAACTGGAAATGCGCAGATTAGGATTTGGTCCAGAGGCACGTCTGGCTAACGGTGCATATCTGCACGCGCACACACACACACGCACGCCTGCGCAGAGAGACCCGTGCGGTCTGGTGACTCCACAGCTGCCCCAGAAACACAGGCAGGGCCTCAGCAAAGCACAATGTGATGAACAAAACCCACCACACATCTGCCCCATTAATTAAACAGCCTCCTCTGTTAATCTACTTACCGTCTGAAGAAAAGCAGGAAACGCTTTCACAGGAACACTTTTGTGGAAGGACCTAGCCTGCAAAGGAAGGAGAAAGGAAACTGGGTTCAAACGTAAATACTTCTGGGAATAAACACTCTGCCTCTGAAGTGATCACAAAGCAACACTAGAAGCCTAAAGACACGGCTGGGGCCTCCCGCGAAGGCAAGAAAACCGCTCTCCGGCCAATTAAGGTTAATTTCTTAAGCCTGAAGGACTCAGGAAAAAGAACTTTAGTAAGAATTGCATTCTTTCTTGCAGGTGGGCTTTGGCCCTCCCCAGCCGCCCCAGAGCACCTACCCCCGGGCCCTCTCGCTCAGTAGCGAGGGGAAGGAGCTACTGCTCTAATGAGGCCCGGCAGCAGCGCGGCCTGGTGGTGGGCATGTCCGGTCACCTCCTAACTGCCTTCCCGCCCGCTTCTCCAGCTTTTGTTCCGTCCACACAGGCAGCCAGATGAGCGTCGTGGGTCACTCTTAGTTCTACTTTCTGTAACCTAAGTCCCCGACACACCAGGCCTCTGTCTCCAGGGCCCCACAGCTTGCTCCAGTCTCAGCGAGCCCAAATCACTACGGCCCGGCCCCCGGCCGACCCACGCAACGCCCATCCTCCTGCGCTCACCAAGCCCACTCTTGTCTCCAGGTCTCGGTTTCTATTGTCAGAGAACGCCTCTACCCCCTGCCCTCTGGTTTTACCCTCACCTGTCTACTAAAATTGCTCTTTTCGAGATCATCCACGATTTACTAATCACCGTACCCATCTTTTCAACCTCTCTACAACGCACAAAACTTTAATATTCCCCTTTCTTAGAATGTTCTCCTCCCTCGGTTTCCGAGACACTGACTCCTAGCACACCTACTTCTTTGATCACTAGTTCCTTCTCCTCCTTCCTAATACATGGCCCTTGCTCCTTCGACCCGAGAAGTGGAGGTGGGCCCCGGGTTCTGCCCCTGGCGCTCGTGTCTGGACGTACACTCTCCTTGCACAGTACCATCCACACGCAGAGCTTTCACCACAGGCCTTCTCTGTGCATGACTCCCAAATCTCTTACCTCCAGTCCCCACCTCCCTTCAACGCTGCAATCCCGCAGTCTTCAGTAGCTCGTCTCCCTAAATGTTCTCAAATCCCCTTCAATTCAGCGATGACCAACAGCCGGGCCAGAGGCTGCTGCTCAGCAGCATGTGCCCCTGCTGCTCACTGTGGTCCCTGAACAGCACCACCACTACGTAAACCTGGACTCCGTGCAGCTTTCCTTCTCCCCGATCCCGACACAACCCAGTCAGGCATCACAGTCGATTCCACCTCTGGGTTGTGTGTGTGTGTAATCCTACATACTAATACATACACACCCAGCCTCTCTAAGCCAGATCCTCTTTGTCTCTCACAAGCCTCCTGACAGATCTCCCACTCTCCAAATTCGTCTCAAACGCTGCTGGCCAGGTTCTCCAACGTGCAACACACTGTCACTGCTCTACTCACTACTGGCAATGTTGAAGGGGCCCACGAGCCACATGCCAGGCACAGTGATGGTCTTTATACATGCTGACCCATTTATCCAAATCACAGCCCCCTGAGTTAGGTTCTAATAGGACCCTCTGTCCCAGAGGAAGAAACCGAAGCACAGAGTTTAAGACCATGTGATCAGTAAACTGTGGAGCCACAGCTGAAGAGTCAGCTCCAGAGCCAGCATCTGCACCCTCATCCACCACGCCCCAGGGCCTCTCCAAAGCCTCCCAAACGCCACAGTCTTCCTTCAGTTCACCCTTCCAAACCTGTTTTCCAGGATCCTAGTTCAAATAACCTACAAGTTTTCACATGTGGCTGACTGAAGTCATTTGACAATTTTCATTCCTGGCCCCATCCCAGCTTTACTGTGCATCCAGGGGGTGAGGCCTGGGAATCTGCATTTTCCAGGTGCCTTAAGTGTCCATCGGCTGGAACCATTCAGGTCCCAACACAGGGCTTTCCTGCTTTTACGATTCTGTTGTGTTCTCAGATCTTACCCAAAACTCTGCTAGTTTTAAGTAATTTCTTATCTAAACTTCCATGTATTTTATCTGTATCTCTGTCGTGGCAGAGAATGGTGCTTCAGGAAATTCAAAAAAAGACTAAGACTCTTTGCCTTCAAAAAGCTTACAATCTGATTACCTACTTAATATTTCACAAATATTTACTGAATGCCTATAATGAACCAGGCACTTAGATGCTGAAGAAAACAGCACAGAACCAAAGTTACGTCCATTCTATGAGGTGAAGGGGCATTAAACAAACTTTTAGTATGTGAGGTGGTAAAAAGTGCTAAGCTAGGTAAAGGGATGGAGGGTGATGTAAAGGACGATGTTATTGTAGATTTGGTGGCCAGAAAAGATCTTTTTGATAAGGAGATATTTAAGGGGTTGTGGGGGTGAGGAGTTGGGGGGTGGAGAGCACCTTTCAGGCAAACAAACAGCAGGTACAAAGGCCCTGAAGTTTGCAGGTAAATGACAAATCTTTAGGATCCACTGAAGCTCAAAAAGGGGGGGGGGGGGGGTTGGTTCACAAGAAGAACCAGTAAGAAACAGTGCCATGAGAATCAAGAAAATAGAAAGTTTCTGCCAAGTTTTCAGGAGCCACTAGAATGAAGGAAGATTTCCAGCAGAATCGGGAAGGAACAGCATTATTGGGATGAAGGACATAGTTTCAAGAAAGATGTGGCAGGGCAGCAACTGTCTGGCTCAGTTGATGGAACACTCGACTCCTGACCTCAGGGTTGTGAGTTCAAGCCCCACGGTGGGTGTAGAGATTGCTTAAAGATAAAATCTTTAAAAAAAAAGAAAGTGGGGGTTGGGGGAGTCAACAGAGTACAAGTTACAGCTTGAGAAGACGTGAAGAAGTAACTCTTCAGAAATACCTAAAGTGGTACGCAGGAGAAATCAGGAACCAGTTTAGGAGCCAAGTCAGAGAATCAAGGGAAAAACTATTAGAAAGTTTCAAGGAGAAAAAGTGTCTATGGTGTGAAAAGCAGAAAAAGTTTACACATATGAGAGTCTTAAGTGCCCATGAAATGTGACATTATTTAGGAGTGCAGTGCTTATTATCAGAAGAGACGGGATGGATGTGAAATGACGGCACAATGAATGGTGCCAGGCTGATGCCAGGTAAGGTAATGATGAACGCAGGCGGCTCACTCACAGAAGTTTGACTGGGAGGGGGACACAAGCCACAGGGGGGTCCAAGGCTGCCCGGAAAAGGGGCCAATTCTCAGGCCAGCTGCGTATGCCGAGGACGTGAGCACCTGGGAAAGGAACCATCGCCCCAGCAAGATGGAGACACACCGCGCCCCTGAGAGCAAGGGTGGGTGGGGCGCGGTGCAGACAGGAGCCAAGCCAGGAAGCTGAGTGAGGGTGCGTTCGTGCGCGCAGGGAGAGAAAGCGGGACTGTGAAAGCTGGAGGCAGTTCGTAGTGGTCCCTGAGATGAATCTACTGGGATTTCAGTGAGAACTGGAGTGAAGACTGGGAACCATGAGCACCTCTAGGCATGGGAGTTTCCTAGACGCTTCGGCAGAGAGGCGACTTACATGCTTTAGGTGCAGGTGTGCCTGGCTGGCAATGTCATAGATCACATCTCTCACGTTTTTATCCTGGTTCTTCCGTAGAAAATCCTCTTGTGAAACACCATGCTGGGCGGGAAAATACGACATTAGGAATCTAAAAGCACACACTCTTTAACTTAGTTCAAGAAAAACAGGTGATAGGATAGTATGTACAGTATGCTGCGTATCTTGTTCTGAAAGTACATGTGTATGCGTGTGTGTGTGTATACAGACACACACGCCCCTAGAAGAATACAACAGGATGTTATTAACAACAGCTGTAGGTGGGACAAAAGCACACAAGCAGAAAACAAACCTATGGATCCATCATGGACCTAAGTGCCTGATAAAATTCTCCCTTGCTGACTGGAGCCAAAAAGCAAGAGGCATTCATTTCACAGCAGTTACATGACTAGATGAAGCAAAGAACCAAGAGCTCCTGCCCACCCCCCCCAACCCCCCACGTGCCTGAGGAAAGCCAACAGAGGAACGGGAACAGTCTTACCAGCATACAGATGTCCATAGGAAGGAACACTCTTCTCCTGCTACCATGATAGGGTGTCGCTCGCAAGCAAGTGACGATGCCATGTGCTTTGCCAATGTGACTTGCGGCATGATCTGCATGAAGATCCTTTACACCTGTGATTTTTAGAAATTAAGCAAAAGGGCTGCTCTTTACTTCTTAAAGGCACAACAAATCAACACAAACAGCTTGGAGAAATCACCTAAACATGTAAAAGCAGGTGTTTATCCTATGTTTTGTATCCGAAAAAATAGGACTTATTTTGAGCAAAACTGGGCATAAAGGCAAGCTGACTGTTTACCACCAAACAGGTCTCCGAACTGCAACTTGTAAATAAAAGAGTTTTCCCTGGACCACAGCACACCGAGAACACATTTGGAATTTTAATCAGCTATCCTGGAAAAACATTACGAGTCTTCCACTTCTTGTCCTCGATGCAATTTCCATATGACCTCATTTTAAGTATACGCTTGACAAACATTCTGCTCTTTGCTCCATCCTTTCATTGTGTTGGCAAACGTGCCACCGGGTGGACATGCAGAGTAGGCCTGGGAATCTCAACAGGGACTTGTGTTACTCCTTTCGGCTGACACAAAGATCTATTACCTTCCCCAACACAGAGGCCCAAATAATCTCCTCCTTACAATAAGACTTCACCAACTTAAAGTCAGATGAGGAAAAGTATCATCTAAATTAGTTTATTTATTTTTAAGAAGAAAGAAAAAGAAAAAATCTCATAAAAACTTTGAGAAATGCAGTTTTATATTTTCCGCACACACCCCTGTGTTTTAACATGGGGAAGTAGTACTGACAGGGAACGACGAGTCGGGCCCCAGGCCTTCCAAACTGTAGAAGATGCTTAAAGAGGAAACAAATCATCTGCAATTACCGGAGTATTAATTACAGCATTCCCAGGAGGAGGCTAAAGTACTCTTATGAGAGCCTGAGCATTTTGGTTAGTCTGCACTCCAGAGAAGGATTATATTCCCCTCCTTGCTAAACAAAACAAAACAGAACAAAACAAAATTCCTGTATCAGTGGTGCAAAGAAAACTTTCAGTGTTAAACTGATCAGACTGTCAAATTGTGAGAGTCAAGTCTGAAGGTATTTTCTTTGAAAAAGAGAATTATGAAACAGAAAAAGACTTACCCAATATTTCCAGTGTTAAGTAAAGAAGAGAGCTCTGTGTGTTTTCAGCATAATTTTCCAATTCCTGGATATTACGATACGCTTTGTCATCTAAATTCTTTTCCTATAGTCAAACAAAATGCAAATAAAGTTTGATGAATTGTCAGTATTTTATAAAGAAAAGGCACAATTTTTTTGCCCTAAAGAACTAATTAAGAATAATTAGTACATAGCTCAGTACACAATAAGATTTAAAAAAACATTAAAGTCCTACACATTCAATACTTACAAATCACCCCTCAAAATACTACCTTGGGGATAATCTCAATACACAAATCACCACAGTCATAGGGTTAGCTAGTTATTAATTCCTTCGAAACTGATCGATGGTTATCTTGCCTGATCACACTATATTCCAGAAACAGAAAAATGTAAATCTCAGAGCAAAAACATCTAGCTACTTTTATAATAATACATTTACAAAGACTCCATTGCTAAGGAAATACACCCATTCCTTTTTTTTTTTTTTAAATCAGAAGAACATGGCACCAGCAATGACCCCAGGGGAAAACATTATGCCGTCTTTCACATTTTGTAAAACTTGAGACATAACTCACATACCATGAAATATACCCTCTTAAAATGTACAATTCAGTGTGTTTCAGTATATTTACCAAGTTGTACAACTATCACCTCCATCTGGTCCCAGAATGTTTTCCCCACCCTGCATCCACTAAGCAGTTACTTCCCATTTCCCACTTCCCAGCAAGCAAACCACTCATCTACTTTCTGTCCACATAGATTTATTTGTTCTGCACATTTTATAGAAATGGTGACAGGATATGTAGTTTTTTGTATCTGGCTTCTTTCAGTTTGCACGTTTTCAAGGATCATCTGCGTTGGAGCCATGTATCAGTACCTGATTCTTTTTAACTTAAGAAATTATGATTATGTTCCATGTATGGATGTACCACATTATGTTTGTACTCACTGATAGATCCTGAGTTGTTCCCACTTTTGGACTATTAGGAGTAATACTGCTATGAACATTTGTGTGCAAATTATGTATGGACACATGTTTTCATTTCTCTTCAGGATAAATATAGGAGTGAAAATACTAGGTCTATGGTAACTCTATGTCTAACTTTCTGAAGAACTGCCAAACTTTTCCAAAGCGGCTGCACCATTTGCCATTCCCATCAGCAATGTATGGAAATTCCTAATTTCTCTATATCCTCACCACCAACACTCATGTACTTGTGTTTATCCATTCGTCTTTTTAATTACAGCCATCCCAATGAGTGTAAAGGAGTCATTTATTCTGCTTTTGACTTGCATTTCCTTAATGAAAAGATGCTGAGCATCTTTTAGGTGCTTATTGGTCATTTGTAGGTCTTCCTCACAGAAATATTTACTCAAATCCTTTGCCCATTTTTAAATTGGATTATTTGTCTTTCTATTTTTGAGTTACAAGAGTCCTTTACATATTCTAGATACTTGTTCCTTATCAAGTATATAACTTACAAAAATATTCTGCCATTCAACTCCCATTGAAGTTTTTAATTTTGTTGAAGTTTAATTACTTTTTTTTTTCTTTTATTGCTTAGGCTTTTGGTATCTTATCTAAAAAATCACTGCCTAACCTAAAGTCCCAAAGATTTATGCCAGTGTTTTTTCCCTAAGTGTTTTATAGTTTTAACTCTTACATTTAGGTGTTTGACAGATTTGGAGTTAGTTTTTGCATATGGTGTTAGATAGGCATCCAAATTCATTCCTTTGCATGTGGATATCCAGTTATCCAGTTGTCCTGGCATTATTTGTTGAAAAGTCTATTCTTTCCCCATTGGATTATCTTCACACCCCTGTCAAAAAATCAATTAACTATAAATATATGGCTTTATTTCTGGACTCTCAATTCTATTCCATTGAATTATATGTCTGTGCCATACCAATACTCCACAATTTGGTTACTGTAACTTTGGAACTAACTTTCATCTTTTTCAAGATTGCTTTTGTGATTCTGGGTCTCTTGCATTTCCATACGGATTTCAGGATCAGCTGGTCAATTTCTGCAAAAAGGCAGCTGGAATTTTTATAGGGATTGTATCAAATCTATAGATCAATGTGGGAGATTGATCCCAGTCTTTTAAATATCCCTCCCTACAAATGCCAAATGTTATTTTCCATTAAACCAAAAAGTTATCTCTGTCTTAAATTCTGTAACTGTCTTTACCTCATAAAAACAGAAAACACCTAGGGTGCCTGAGTGACAGCCAGTTAGGCCTCCCACTCTCAATTTCAGCTCAGGTCATGATCTTATGATCTCAGGGTCATGAGACTGAGCCCCATGCCAGACTCTGCATTCAGCTGGGAGTCTGCTTGAGATTCTCTTCATCTCCCTCTACCCTTCCCTGCTCCCACTCACATACACATGTTCGGGCGCTCTCTCTCTATCTAAAAGAAATTAATAAATCTTTAAAAACAAAACAAAACCAAAAACACCTGAAAAATAGATCTTTTTGGTGCTAGTTAGGTCTTTAGGCCAACTGCACAATTTTTTTAAAATGCTGAATTATCTCCCATTTTAGCTTATAATTATTATAGTCTATGGTTATTAATGGGTCATATTCAAATAAACTAAACATATTTTCAAGACAATAGTATGTGATAAATATCAGGCTGATGAGGACAGGGGGGCCAACAATGTGTCAGGAAGACTACATTATTAGGCTGGGACAAAGAGCAATTTGCATGCTTGGCTGGACCTCAAGCTCAGTTCCTAGAATGTGGTCTGGTACTCCATTCACTAGAGTAGACCCGTCAGACTCTCCCTCTCCTATTTGGACAGAGATCCAAATGCTGTGTGTACATAAACGTATGTGCATGACTACTAAAGTTTTGATGATACTAAGGAATTATCTGTAATTTTTTGAGGTATGATCATGTATTGTGGGTATATTTTCTAGAAGTGTTTTTAAAATCTTTTCAAGATACATATATATTTGTAGCTCCAATAACATATCTGGGGTTTACTGTAAAATAATCCAGTGGGGTTTAATGAGAGAGGCTGGTAAAATATAGATGAAGCAATACTGGACGTGTGTTCATAGCTAAAGCTGGGTGAGATACATGACAGTATGATATACTCTTCTACTTCCGTATAAGTCCAAAATTTCCATTAAAAAAAAAAAAAAAAAAACACTGCAGGGGATCCCTGGGAGGCTCAGCAGTTTAGTGCCTGCCTTTGGCCCAGGGATTGATCCTGGAGTCCCGGGATCGAGTCCCGCACTGGGCTCCTGGCATGGAGCCTGCTTCTCCCTCTGCCTGTGTCTCTGCCTCTCTATCATGAATAAATAAAATCCTTAAAAAAAAAAAAAAAACACACACGGCAAAACATAAAACAGTAGTGTGTGGGTGTGTACACACACACCTCCGCCAGGGTGCTGTGTCTGCCGTCTGACTCAAGACGCAGAGGCAGGGCTGAGGGGGTGGCACGCAGTGAGGGAGAGTGGACAGAATGGCACAGTCCTCTAAAAGTTTCCTTCCCCCAAAATATAATATGCTTATTAAAACATTTCCTCCCAGGTTAAGGACCATCCTGCTAAAAGATAAAAGGGTCAACCAGGAAATTAAGGAAGAATTAAAAAGATTCATGGAAACTAATGAGAATGAAGATACAACTGTTCAAAATCTTTGGGATGCAGCAAAAGCAGTCCTGAGGGGGAAATACATCGCAATACAAGCATCCATTCAAAAACTGGAAAGAACTCAAATACAAAAGCTAACCTTACACATAAAGGAGCTAGAGAAGAAGCAGCAAATCGACCCGACGCCCAGCAGAAGAAGAGAGTTAATTAAAATTCGAGCAGAACTCAACGAAATTGAGACCAGAAGAACTGTGGAACAGATCAATAGAACCAGGAGTTGGTTCTTTGAAAGAATTAATAAGATAGATAAACCATTAGCCAACCTTATTAAAAAGAAGAGAGAGAAGACTCAAATTAATAAAATCATGAATGAGAAAGGAGAGATCACTACCAACACCAAGGAAATACAAACGATTTTAAAAACATATTATGAACAGCTCTACGCCAATAAATTAGGCAATCTAGAAGAAATGGACGCATTCCTGGAAAGCCACAAACTACCAAAACTGGAGCAGGAAGAAATAGAAAACCTGAACAGGCCAATAACCAGGGAGGAAATTGAAGAAGTCATCAAAAACCTCCCAAGACACAAGAGTCCAGGGCCAGATGGCTTCGCAGGGGAATTCTATCAAACGTTTAAAGAAGAAATCATACCTATTCTACTAAAGCTGTTTGGAAAGATAGAAAGAGATGGAGTACTTCCAAATTCATTCTATGAGGCCAGCATCACCTTAATTCCAAAACCAGACAAAGACCCCACCAAAAAGGAGAATTACAGACCAATATCCCTGATGAACATGGATGCAAAAATTCTCAACAAGATACTAGCCAATAGGATCCAACAACACATTAAGAAAATTATTCACCATGACCAAGTAGGATTTATCCCCGGGATGCAAGGCTGGTTCAACACTCGTAAAACAATCAATGTGATTCATCATATCAGCAAGAGAAAAACCAAGAACCATATGATCCTCTCATTAGATGCAGAGAAAGCATTTGACAAAATACAGCATCCATTCCTGATCAAAACTCTTCAGAGTGTAGGGATGGAGGGAACTTTCCTCGATATCTTAAAAGCCATCTACGAAAAGCCCACAGCAAATATCATTCTCAATGGGGAAGCACTGGGAGCCTTTCCCCTAAGATCAGGAACCAGACAGGGATGTCCACTCTCACCACTGCTATTCAACATAGTACTGGAAGTCCTAGCCTCAGCAATCAGACAACAAAAAGACATTAAAGGCATTCAAATTGGCAAAGGAGAAGTCAAACTCTCCCTCTTCGCCGATGACATGATACTCTACATAGAAAACCCAAAAGCCTCCACCCCAAGATTGCTAGAACTCATACAGCAATTTGGTAGCGTGGCAGGATACAAAATCAATGCCCAGAAATCAATGGCATTCCTATACACTAACAATGAGACTGAAGAAAGAGAAATTAAGGAGTCAATCCCATTTACAATTGCACCCAAAAGCATAAGATACCTAGGAATAAACCTAACCAAAGAGGTAAAGGATCTATACCCTAAAAACTATAGAACACTTCTGAAAGAAATTGAGGAAGACACAAAGAGATGGAAAAATATTCCATGCTCATGGATTGGCAGAATTAATAGTGTGAAAATGTCAATGCTACCCAGGGCAATTTACACGTTCAATGCAATCCCTATCAAAATACCATGGACTTTTTTCAGAGACTTAGAACAAATTATTTTAAGATTTGTGTGGAATCAGAAAAGACCCCGAATAGCCAGGGGAATTTTAAAAAAGAAAACCATAGCTGGGGGCATCACAATGCCAGATTTCAGGTTGTACTACAAAGCTGTGGTCATCAAGACAGTGTGGTACTGGCACAAAAACAGACACATAGACCAATGGAACAGAATAGAGAATCCAGAAATGGACCCTGAACTTTATGGTCAACTAATATTCGACAAAGGAGGAAAGACGATCCACTGGAAGAAAGACAGTCTCTTCAATAAATGGTGCTGGGAAAATTGGTCATCCACATGCAGAAGAATGAAACTAGACCACTCTCTTGCACCATACACAAAGATAAACTCAAAATGGATGAAAGATTTAAATGTGAGACAAGACTCCATCAAAATCCTAGAGGAGAACACAGGCAACACCCTTTTTGAACTTGGCCACAGTAACTTCTTGCAAGATACATCCACGAAAACAAAAGAAACAAAAGCAAAAATGAACTATTGGGACTTCATCAAGATAAGAAGCTTTTGCACAGCAAAGGATACAGTCAACAAAACTCAAAGACAACCTACAGAATGGGAGAAGATATTTGCAAATAACATATCAGATAAAGGGCTAGTTTCCAAAATCTATAAAGAACTTATTAAACTCAACACCAAAGAAACAAACAATCCAATCCTGAAATGGGCAAAAGACATGAAGAGAAATCTCACAGAGGAAGACATAGACATGGCCAACATGCACATGAGAAAATGCTCTGCATCACTTGCCATCAGGGAAATACAAATCAAAACCACAATGAGATACCACCTCACACCAGTGAGAATGGGGAAAATTAATAAGGCAGGAAACAACAAATGTTGGAGAGGATGCGGAGAAAAGGGAACCCTCTTACACTGTTGGTGGGAATGTGAACTGGTGCAGCCACTCTGGAAAACTGTGTGGAGGTTCCTCAAAGAGTTAAAAATAGACCTGCCCTACGACCCAGCAATTGCACTGTTAGGGATTTACCCCGAAGATTCAGATGCAATGAAACGCCGGGGCACCTGCACCCCGATGTTTCTAGCAGCCATGTCCACAATAGCCAAACTGTGGAAGGAGCCTCGGTGCCCATCGAAAGATGAATGGATAAAGAAGATGTGGTTTATGTATACAATGGAATATTACTCAGCCATTAGAAACGACAAATACCCACCATTTGCTTCAACGTGGATGGAACTGGAGGGTATTATGCTGAGTGAAGTAAGTCAATCGGAGAAGGACAAACAGTGTATGTTCTCACTCATTTGGGGAATATGAATAATAGTGAAGGGGAATATAAGGGAAGGGAGAAGAAATGTGTGGGAGATATCAGAAAGGGACACAGAACATAAAGACTTCTAACTCTGGGAAATGAACTAGGGGTGGTGGAAGGGGAGGAGGGCAGGGGGTGGGGGTGAATGGGTGACGGGCACGGAGGGGGACACTTGACGGGATGAGCACTGGGTGTTATTCTGTATGTTGGTAAATTGAACACCAATAAAAATTAATTTATAGAAAAAAAAAATAAAAAAAAAAATAAATAAAACATTTCCTCCCAGAGGAATTAGCTTATGGATTAAAAGGGAAGAAAACACTTAAGACTTGAGCAATTTCAACTTACTCTTTCATCAATGATTTTCATAAGCCATCTTTTAGTCAGATTATGTCTTTTCACAGCCTAAAAAACAAGAGTGTTATAAATTTTTAGAAAGTACTAGAAATGACTTCAGCAGACTTGAATAAACAAACCAAATACAAAACTAGGTAAGGAAACATTTGTAATAACTCATCATCAGATAAACAGCCAGTCATGTTAAATATCAGGGGAAAAGAAAATGTCCCTAAAAAACATTTCAAAACATTTCCAAGTACAGATGATACATCCAAAACATTTCCACTAGACTTTTCTTATGCTACTGGTAATTTAACAATTCTACTTTCAAAAAAAAAAAACAAGAATTAAATACTGAGCTTCTGTTATATGATGCAACTTGACTTCTCTGTTTACTTATCACACATAAACTAGTTTCCATAGGATAAAAATTCTACTTAGAGTAAATTAGCAAGCAAAGACACTCCAGGAGGAAAAAACACACCTAGTGCCCAGATCTTGGATACCAGTACCATTCCCTTCAAAGGAAATGAGGCCCTGAAGAAACGGATGATTCCAGAGAGGGGACAAGAGAGATTCAGGGTGATCCTAGAATATGTTACTGTGCCAGAAAATAAGAATGCCCCCAAAAGTGATGGGGGTGCATGTCACAAGGACACAGGAGCCAGTTTGAAAGAGCTCCCACTGTCCAAATCTGGGACTGCTTTAACACCAATATTATTAAATATAGCAATGAATTATAAATTACTGGAAAAAATAGGAATTCATATCAATAATTAATACACAAATAAATAAATACAGGAGATTGAGAGCTCTTCCCTACAGCAGAATGCCAGCCAAGTCCCAACCAGTAATGTTGTCAGAGGACTAGAGTCTGGAAATTATCATTTTGCAATCATAACAAGGGAAGACTAAATCAAAGAAGAACTATCAATGAATGCTAAATTTAGGAAGAAACTGATATGTGCACAGTCTTGAAGTCAACCTTAAAGTCTTAGGTTGTAAGAGTAATTACAATTATAGACTAGGAAAACCAGGCAACATCTTGACCAGATGATAAAAATTAATAATGCCAATAAAGGACAGATGGACAAAGTGTGCCTCTAGACATGACACCCTGAGAAGAACATGTCACTTCTGCAGTATTCTGGCCAAACACACATAAACTGAATTGGCCATGAGAAAACGTCAGACCATTCCAAAATGAGGGATGTTTTAGAACAGCAAGGGGGAGGAGGCTATAATCTTCAAAAATGTCAATGTCTTAGAAGACAAGGAGAGCCCAGAGAACTGTTCCAGATTAAGCAGGCAAAAAAGACAGGACAACTAATACCTGACCCTAGACTGGATCCTATACTGGAGGGGAAAAATACTAATGTAGACAATACTGGAGAAGCCTACAAAAGTGGAATATAAATAGAAAATTAGATAAAAGTATCATACCGAAGTTAAATTTATCAAAGTCAGTAACTGTTTTGGTTACATAAGAGAATATTCCTATTCTTAAGCAATGCTCATTAAAATATTTAGAAATAAAAGGACCATGATGTATATAACTTATACTCAAATGATTCAGATAAAAATTTTGAGTGTGAAAATGCACACGCACATGCAAGAGAATGCTACACAAATCATTAACAAATAGACTAAAATGTTAACAGGTGAATCTGGATATAGATTATAGAAGTTTGTTTGTACTATTTTAAATTTTGCAACCTTTCTCAAAGTTTGAAATTATTTCCAAGTAAGTTTTAAAACCATTTTCTTACCAAGTCAACAATAAGATATATTTTCATAATAAAAACAGTAATGAAACAAAATCTTAGGAATATCCTACACTCCACCTAAGACCCTAAGCTGTCACTGATACTAAAATGTAAAAGCATGCTCCTTGATACACATTTATGTCACAAAGGGTATGGAGACAGAGCCCATTTTGCCCAGTAGGAACCTAATGGAAGCTACAAGTGCTGCATGGCATTGGCTAAAGCCCTTTCAGCACTGCTAATACATGGTAGGACTCCCTCAGGCTTCTCCCCAATCCTAGGACTCAGCCTGGGATTCCTCAGTTGTTACAGAATCCTGATATTGTTTTATTTTGTACATGTCTAAGCGGGGTGAGGCATGTTTGATCTCTGCAACCACCATCAAGCACCATTCCTGGCACATAAAGTACTCAATAAATATTTAACCACCGAAAGTTGGATTCCTGTTTACTCAAGGCTGAATCCATACCGGCTGCAGTTCCTTGACCACAAAATATAATTCTTCTGTCTGATTCTGGAGGAAATCAGAGATCAAGGTAAAAAAAAATAAGTATTTAATAAGAAGCTGAAAACATGCTGAATAAAGTATCAACAATTTTGGAAGTAGAAGCCAAACAGAATAAAAACCTTGGCTAAAAACATAAACTGCAACTAACATTAATACACAGAGAAATGAAGAAGCCCATATGAAATACATATGTGATTATAGATACACAACCATTTTGTACCCTAAAGGCACTAATGAGTCACTGTGGCAGAAAAGTGCTCACTGAGCAACACACTGTCACTCTTTCCCTATTTAATCTTCTAAAAGAGCCTGTCTCCCAAGAACCAATGGAAGGCTTTACTGGACAGAGGCCCAATGAGCATAACGTCCAGCAGGAGGGGGACAGGGAGAGAACAGGGGCACCTGCTCTGCTCACTACCTGCCTTTTGCACATTCTCAGATTACTCTTCAACACGGGTCACATCAGAAAGCTGGCCAACAGCAATCATCCAAACTGAAGCAGCTGTTAACACTGGACAAATTGGCACGCAGGTAAACACTCTACAATTCAGATATGTCTTCCGGGTCTGTTTGTTTTAAGAGAGGCCAAGAACAAAATAAACGTGTGTTGAAAGAATTTCTAACCATCCTTGATGTTTCCTGACAGAGGCCAGGGCATTCCACGCAAGCCTTAGCATAAACCCCCACTGCAGTGATGTTTGCCTGTAAGACATCATTTTTCTAGGCTTCAAGAGAAACTTTTCTTTAAATGGAGTCACCAACGTTGAGGTTCTTAAAGGAAGATGAACAGAGGTAAACAACTAATCTAATACTCACAGCTTCCCATCCACTTTTTCTTCTCAGTCCCCGGTTGACGGGGGAGCCTGGCTTTCCATCCTTACTGGGGCTCTGTGCAGTCAGTCAGGGGCCCAGGAATGGGGCCCGCCTCTGCTGGTACGCAGACCTGAGAAGAGGTGCACCCCTGTCAGGTCTGTTGAGTGGCTCCGTCACAGCACCTGTCTTTGGCACTCATCACACCACAGTGGGGACCCAGATCAGGGACAAAAGGCACCGAATTCCCTTCCTCCAGTCGTGGTGTAGCACATTTCCCAACTCTGCATGAATGAAGGATCCGTACAGCTGCTCTAATGTGGAACTACTCACTAGATACATCAAGCTATCCTAAGAATTCTTTTTGTTGTTGTTGTTGTTGTTTATTTATGATAGTCAGAGAGAGAGAGAGAGAGAGGCAGAGACATAGGCAGAGGGAGAAGCAGGCTCCATGCACCGGGAGCCCGACGTGGGATTCGATCCCGAGTCTCCAGGATCGCGCCCTGGGCCAAAGGCAGGCGCCAAACCGCTGCGCCACCCAGGGATCCCTATCCTAAGAATTCTCTAGCTCTTAGGTTTGTTTCCATTCTCTAATATTTCAAATTTATCAATGAATATGCAACGCTATCAAACTCAACAAGGCAGTTTTATATTTGTGTCTAGATAATGGTGAGGGCATGTCTCCCTTCACAAAAGATCAATATGGGTTTCTACAGCCCACAGTATAGATTGGAGCGCTGGAATAAGGAGCTACTGGGCAGACAGGACACGCAGTTCACCTGCCACTGCTTCAAAACTTGTGGGGTTTAGTTTCTACACCAAATAAGTGGAAATACAGAATTTATAACACAAAGGGACCAGGTTCCTTTTTCTTTCCTTTAATAAAGAAATTCACTGAAGTTCTGTCCAATTAGGAGATGATTTTGAATTCCTCTGTCAAAACTAACATAGTTCTGAACATCACATGAGCCTAAGATTATTTTCAGGAATAGATTCCCCATTGCCACTAGCCAAGTTGTATGCATCAAAAAGTATGCTCAAATAACACTTAAAAGAAGCATTTTGTTTTTACCTTCCACAGCTCCAAGGCCACAGGCTGCTGGGGTGGGTTATCACAGTATATATCGTCCACTGTTTTTTTCCAAAATGCCATTCGCATCAGTCCAATTGTTTTCTCAGAGACAGAGTCCTTAACCTATAAACAGAATTCAAAAACCTTAATAAATGCACTCTTCACAGTTTCAAAATCAGTATTTGTGACTGTATAATGACATAAGTCAGCCAAAAACTAAGTTTAATTCTATATATGTTTCAATTTTTCCTTGAAGCTATATATTGATCAAACCGTTGCCATTAAGTTTCCTAAGTAAACCTGCAAATTACTTCCAATATTTTCAAGGTTTGCATTCCAAAATAGGAAAGATATTCTTCTAGAAATAAATGGCAATAAAAAAACAAAAGTGGGGGGAGGACATTTAGATTAAAAGAAATTTAATAGAGGAACCAGTTGCAGTATATGGAGTTTATCTGATCCTGATTTGAAGAGATAGAGACAACTGGAAAAAATCTGAACACTGGATGTTTAATATTAAGGAATTATTAAATTTTTAATGCATGACAATGGCATTGCAGGTACTTTTTTTAAGGAGTTACCTCTTAGTGATACATACTGAACTATTTACAGATGAAAAAATTTATCTGAGACTTACTTCAAAATAACAGCGGTGAGGATGGGCTTAAGTGGGGATAGAAGGAAAACTCAAGATTGGCCATGAATTAGTAACAGGTAGAGCTGAGTAATGGGTTTATGGGACCTTATTATACTACACTAATTTATATATATTTGAAGTTTTCCATAATAAAAAAGTTTTTAAAAAATAAGTGGAAGAGAAGAAAAACAATCCTTTTGGATTAATGATTGTAAAATTATTTCTAAGTCTGGAGATAAACCTAGGAAACAGAACCAGGGGCCTTCTATAGGAAACAGGAAAGGAAGTAACATTTATCAAATGTCCAGGAGTACCAAGCCCTTTGCTAGGTACCGTCCCAGAGATTATCTGATTGCAGTCCCCACCACAAACCTGCAGGGTCATTACCAATATACCAATTTAAAAATGGAGAATTCATGGCTCAAAAAAAGACCGTGCTCTGCACACTCACAGCTCTCATAATGGAACCAAAAGGGTATGCAAAAGATTATGGGTGAGGGGAGCAGCTCACTACAAAGGTGCACATGAGGAATATCTGGAGTTGATGGAATTGTTCTTTTCTCATGACTATAGTGGTGAATGCATGAAACTGCATGTTTCAACACCTACAGAATTGTGTACCACAAAAAGTGAATTTTACTGTATATACATTTAAATAAACTCATTCATTCACTACATAACGTTTTTTAAGAGAAAGAGGGCATGTGTGTGCAAGCAGGGGAGGGGCTGAGGGGAAGAGAGAATCTTAAGCAGGCTCCACACTCAGGGAGGAGCCCTATACAGGGGTTCAGTAGGTTAAGCATCTGCTCAGGTCATGACCCAGGGTCCTGGGATCGAGCCCTACATCAGGCTCTGCTCAGCAGGGAGTCTGCATCTCCCTCTCCCTCTGCCCCCCACCACCTCCAGCTCATGCTCACTTTCTCTCTCGCTCTTTCTCTGTCTCAAATAAATAAATAAAATCCTTAAAAAAGTAAAATTTAATAAATAAAATATTAATGTCATAAAAGGCTGTGGAAACGTTCCAGATTAAAGAAGGCTAAAAAGATGAAAATTAATACAATATATGATCTTAGATTGGCTCCTGTACAAAAGAGGCAAAATGACATTATTGGGTCGTTTGACAAAATTGGAAACCAGATGGTAGGTTAAACAATCTACCAATATCAAATTTATTCAAATTGATTATTATGATTATATAATATTCTTATTATGAAATAAATTCAAGTTTATAGGGATAAGGGCCATGGTGTAGTCAAGTTACTCTAAAGTTATTCAGAAAAAAAAATATACATATACACACACACATATTTGTCTATATATGTATACACACACAAAATGACAAAGCATATGTGGCAAAATATCAACAACAGAGTATATGGATATTTTTTGTACTATTCTTTTGTGTGTGTGAAATTATTTCCAAATAAAAAGTTGTTTTTGTTAATGGTCTTGGTGCTGGGTAGGTCTCTTAGCAATGTTTAGTATTCAGATCCCAGGAGCATATGGCCTATTCTCAATACAATATCAAGAGTAATCTTTTTAAAATGTGACCAAGCTTTAACGTCCTTTTCTGCTCAGAACCTTCCAATGGTTTCCCATCTCCGAGTAAAAGCCAAAGTGACTGCAATGGTCTCCAAGACCTTGCCTTTCTGGTCCAGGTACCTCTAACCTAATCTCCTCCCATGGTCTCCCCGACACATCTGCTGTGCCATACTGGCCTTCTTGTCTTTCAATATTATCAGGTACACCTGCACCTCAGAGCCTCTGTATGTGCTGTTCCTTCTCTTTACTCAAATGTCTCTCTTATCTCCTTCAAATCTTTACTCAAATGCTACCTTCTGAGGTTTTTCCTGACCACCGTATATAAAATAGGAACTCCTGCTACACCCAGCCTTCCCCATCCCTCTTAATTTTTTTTTCCATAGTACTTGCTTCCACCTGATACATTACACAGTACTTGCTTGTTCCTTCAGTGCAGGGACTTTAAATGTTTCAGTGTTGCACCCCAGGACCTTAAACAGTGCCTAGCATATCTGAGATAATCAAATACTTACTGAATGAATGAACGAACAAGACTGTGTGTGCAAAACAGCAGCAAAACACTCTTACAATGTGACAGAGAATTCAGGGAGAACCCTAAGAATTTATCCATTAAAATGAAATTTTAATAATTTTAGAGTTAGAAAGGAAGATCACAATGGGGACTCCTTATTGCTAAACTGTCCTTGACTTAAGATGCAGATGTGCAGTTTATGCCTGAAAAAGGATGAGGTAAAAAAAAAAAAATACTGACTCATGACTTCTAGAAATAACACCAAGAAAAAAACTAGCCAGAGTCTATGAGAGTCTCTGCAGACTCAGTGTCTATCCTCGGGGGTGCTTCGGAGCTGTACTGACACCCTTTCATTCATTCCTAGTTCACTTCCTATCCTATACACTAGAGCAGTCATGCCAAAACTTGCCACTTTCTTCAAGACTCCAAACCCTCGCCCGATCACTCAGTCTTAATATCCGAGCCCTCCATTTAATGAGAAGACCAAGGTCACTCCACTTCAACTCCCTCATTTCCATCCTCCATTTCAACTTATGTTGTATCAGCCCACGGCCTTTCCATTCTAAGAAAAAGAAGGCTCTTTCCTTCCTTCATAATTTTTTAGACAAAAGTGAGTTAGAATGATCTAAGGCCTGGGTTTGCTATAATTATTTCTGTTCCCCATTTCACATTAAAGCTAATACCTCATTAAAAAGTGCTTTGAAAACTGCTATAAGCAGTGATACTGTGATGAGCCTACTCAACAGACAAACATGCTATGTTAATCGCATAGTTTTATAACATCCCTAGAAAAATAAATAAAAATCCCAGAATGGTAGTTCCAGAAACATCAAGTTTGTCAGCTAATTTATTTTTGGAATTGAATTGGTAAGCCTATATAGGAACACAAAGAAATCACCAGCAGAGACCTTATACACACCTAACATGCAAATTATAACTGTATTTCTTTATTTTTCAGCATTAAACACATTATATCACCATTTTTGCAAATAATTTTTTAAGGTATTTTAATACCAGCCTGAGCCAGTTCCACATTGAAGGCTCTCAGTGCAAAGGCAGAGCTTCTGGATTCTGCAGGGAACAGCAGGGAGCATAAATAGCCTTCATAATCCCGTTTCCTATAACAAACAGGCAGAAAAAGATAGTTACTTTTCACTTTCTAAACTGTACACCAAAAAGTGCTGACTAGTATTAACTGAAAGAAGAAAAAAAAAAAAAAAACCCAAGTATTCAATTCAAAACAGGCCTAAAATTTCTTGTATTTTATACTTGTTTATTTAAAATTACAAAAAAATGTATCTGCCCTCAATCCCAGACTAGTTAAAAAGAAATCATCTCTATTAATTTATCTGAACTTGTATGGTACTTATAATTTTCATTGTTTCAGAATTACTTTGGTTTTAGTAAGAATTCAAATGATTTACTGAGGTAGAAATCAAGAAAGTAATACCAGGAAGTATTGTATGAACTCACAGTTTTTAATACACAAATAAAGACACAGATAAAACATAAAAACAGAAAATAATATGGAGCGTGTTGAGTGTGTGTGCCTGTGTGTACACTTACATTTCCTAGCAGCATCTGCGGAGAGAGCCTAGAAGCAATGATAAGGAAAGACTGAGAAATTGTTCAAGCCTGAAGAAGACTAAAGAGACGTGATAACTAAATGTAGCATATGATCCTGAATGTATGAAAGTCATAATCAAATAATGAGCAAAATTTGAATGGAGCCTGTGGATTCAGTGGTAATAGTGGATCCTGACTCTGAAGGTGTACCATAGTCATATGGAAGAGGATTCTTGGGTGTACTAAGAAATACACACCAATGGACACCTGGGTGGCTGTCGGTTGAGTGACGGACTCTTGGGTTAAGCTCAGGTCATGATCTGGGGGTTGTGGGATCAAGCTTGATGTCAGGCTCTGTGCTTGGTGGGGAGTCTGCTTAAGATTCTCTCTCTCCCTCTCCCTCTGGCTCTACCCCACTCACAAGCACTCGTTCTCTCTTGCTCACTTGCTCACTCTAAATAAATAAATCTTTTTTTAAAAATACACACTAAGGGATCCCTGGGTGGCGCAGCAGTTTGGCGCCTGCCTTTGGCCCAGGGCGCGATCCTGGAGACCCGGGATCGAATCCCACATCAGGCTCCCGGTGCATGGAGCCTGCTTCTCCCTCTGCCTATGTCTCTGCCTCTCTCTCTCTCTCACTGTGTGCCTATCATAAATAAATAAAATAAAATAAAAATTTAAAAAAATAATAATAAAAAATAAATAAAAATACACACCAAGATGTTAGGGGGAGGCGATGGTGCATCATGTCTACACCTTATTCTCAAATGGCTCAGAATATTAACAATGAGGGAGTCTGAATGAAGAGTATACTGGAGCTCTGTGTACTATCTGTAATTTCTATGTCCGTTTGAAATTACTTCAAAATAAAAAGTTTAAAACAACAGAATGCTTATTATATACATCATAGGATGACTGCCTATCAACAAAGCTACTTTCACTATAACACACTGAAACTTTAATACAAACATTCTTTCCTATAAAACAATTATCTAAATAAAACGGGTCCAACGTCCTTCCATGGAATTTAGGTACTGAAATTCAGGTTACTCCCACATTTTAATTGGTTTACTTTTTTTTTCAATTTAATTTAATTTTTTTTAAGATTTTATTTATTTATTCATGAGAGACACACAGAGAGAAAGGGAGAAACAGGCTCCACGCAGAGAGCCCGATGCAGAACTTGATCCCAGGACCACGCCCCAAGCCAAAGGCAGGCGCCAAACCACTGAGCCACCCAGGGATCCCCCTTAATTTAATTTTTTGATAGAGAAAGAATGTGGGGGGGAGGAGCACAGAGGGAGAGAGAATCCTAAGCAGGCTGCATGCTCAGTGCAGAGCCCAATGCAGAACCTCGTCTCACCACCCTGAGATGACAACCAGAGACGAAGTCAAGAGTTGGACACTCAACTGAGCCACCCAGGCGCCCCTCAATTGGTTCACATTTTGTTGTCTGCCTAACAGAGAACTTAAACCTCTTCTAGCCACACCCTTCACAATTTCCTCCAACTTCCACATAAACAAAAGGAAGTGATAATGACAAGTAATCCTGCTATCACAAAACAGCTCTACCAAAAAATCTCACCGTAAGTGGTTTCAGCTACAAAATGGACAGTGTGGGCAAAACAGCTCTATAATTTATACCTTTAAATACATTATAGATATATTTTAAAACTCTATTATAATATAAAAAGTCTCTGAACTTCAAAGTGTTTAAAACACTAGGCTGTTAATATGAAACAGGGAGAAAACAGTGACTAGGAATCATGACTACTATCTTAATTTCAAGTAGTTGACAGAAATGCTACCTACCATATCTATTTCCTAATTTGCAAAATGAGGCTTGATAAGCAACCTGTTTCATATCTTCTAAAAATAAGCAATATGTGAAACACTTTAGATTTCTTAATTCTAGTATGGTAACAATCTTTGGGGAATAAGATACTCTACACAGAGAAAGGTTTCTCTGTATTTTTTTTTTAATTTTGGTTGGAAATTTTTCTAAACAACATTACCAATCTATTTACATACGCGAAGATACACTGAATATTGGAACCATTTCTTCACTCAAGATTATGGTTATAAATATCGATTACTGGTAGACGAGGTTATCTTAAGTAGCCAACCAAGGTCCAGTTATTAGAGAAATGTTCCAGATAGTGAGAAATTCCATACCAGGATGGTTTTATACAGCAACAGAGCCAAGAACCTTTCATCCACTCATTAATGGTAACATTTATTCAGTGCCCACTATGCGGCAGCACTGTGCTAGACACCAAAAATAGGTATAGACTTCAGTCTGGTAAGGAGGGGCAGACCAATGAAAAATCAGCATATCTGGTGTGAGGACTGCTGTGCTAGTTCTAGTTCCATGGAGCTGTGCCATCAAGGCACAAAACAGCGGCTCCCCAGTGTGTCTGGGGGAGAATGGAGAATAGGTACGCTTTGAGACATCACCACTAGCACCTCCTTACCTCCTTAGAAGCACTAATCCCAAGGCCTAAAGCAGCCTTGAGGTTCCTCAAAACCATCCCCCAGGAAACCTATGGAAATTAGGTCTGAGATATTCCCAGGAACGTAGATTCCTAGCAGAGCTCTCTGGCTGGCTAAGCCAAACTTCTGGCCTGGTATCTTTTTCAATATTTGGAGGGCTTGCGTAAGACACATGTCCAAAAAACAACCCTGCCCAAATGATTTCAGGGGCCAAATCCTGAAGATTAATGAACAACCAGGAGCTAGAAACTGTAACCTTTCCTTCAAGTTACATTTTGTTTCTATTTAAAAACTACCACTGTGCGTATGTTACTGTGCCAGCATATTTATACACACATCATTGCATTTAACCCTCATAACCAGGCTCTGAAGACTAGAAATTTACAAATGAAGAAATAACTGCAGCTTAATGTGAGCAACTTTCCCAGGTGATGGACTTGGGATTAATAAACTCGCATCAGGGCAGCCTGGGTGGCTCAGCGGTTTAGCATCGCCTTTGGCCCAGGCCGTGACGGGGGGGGGGGGGGGGGGGTCCTGGGATCGAGTCCTACGTGGGGCTCCCTGCATGGAGCCTGCTTCTCCCTCTGCCTATATCTCTGCCTCTCTCGTGAATAAATAAATAAAATCTTAAAAAAAAATAAAAAAAAATAAACTCAGCTCAGGTCTGCCTGCAAAATCCAGGCTTTTTAATAAATCACTCAAACGCCTCCATTCCACTCAAATACCTACATGAACAGATTAAGTTATCTGCCCACTTGCAAATATGTATTTGAGATATCACTGCCATGATATCCACAGACTATTACTGGAAGAACTGCAGGATCACTATGCACATGTATATATAATACGTAGTGTGTGTATATATACACACACATATAGCACATATATATGTAATACATTTTTACTCATATACAGCAATACATAAGAAATTAGGAAGAGGGATCATCCGCCTCTGGATGCAGACGTTAGGACATCACAGGTGTCAAAGATGGACCCGGACAAGTGGATACGGGTGGCATACATTCTGATGCTCTATATCTTACTATCATCAAAAAATCGGTAGCTTTATATGAAAACGAGCCTCACTCTTCCCGCAGGTTTGCCTTTTTGCAAGGTCCTTACGGCTCGGATCCCCCTACTGCTAGCCTGCTTCCTTTATAAGCGCAATCAACAAAGAGGCCGGAGCAGGGCCGTCATTTTTCAAAAGGGCCCAGAAACGACGCGCTGAAATCCGTGGGAATCCTGTTGCGTCACACTACAATTCGCTAAAATAGAATGCAAAAAAAAAAAAAAGAAAAGAAAAGAAAAGAAAAAGAAAAAGCGATGTCCCGGCGCAGTCAGCCCCAAGCCGGCAGGCCCGCAGGCCCGGGTGCTCCGGCGCAGCACGGAGCTGCGACCCCCACGGTCGGCGCCCCGCCCCGCCCCGCCCCGCGCCTGACCCCCAACACCCGGGGCCGCGAGCGCGCGTGCCGCACGGCTGGCCAGGAAGGACCAAGCCTCGGCCAGGGCGGCGGACCACGGGCGTCACGGGCCCCGCGGCCGCAGGAAGGCCCCGCTCCCCGCCCGCTCACCGCAGCAGCTCCACGCAGTAGCGGTCGGCGCCCGCGGCACCCGAGCCGCTGGCCGCGGCCACGCTCCGCCCGGACCCCGCGAGCCCCGGGAGCCGCCGCGCGCGCGCCCACAGGCCCCGGGGCGGCCGGCGGCGGCACCACAGCCCCGGAAGGCCGAGCCGCGGCGGGCCGTTGGCGGAGCGCAGCACGGAGGCCGCCATGACACCGACGCTGCGTGCCCTCTGACCCCGCCAGCCACGCCTCCGCGCGCCGCCGGCCGGCGCGGGCGGGGGTCGCGGCGCTCCAGTGCGTCTGCGCGGCCGCCGCGGCTCCGGGCTGCTAAGCTCCAGGAGTGCGCTCCAGTGCGTCTGCGCGGTCGCCGCGGCTCTGGGCTGCGGGACTCCGGGGCTTCGCTGCAGTGCGTCTGCGCGGCCGCCGCGGCTCCGGGCTGCTAAGCTCCAGGAGAGCGCTCCAGTGCGTCTGCGCGGCCGCCGCGGCTCTGGACTGCCGGACTCCGGGGCTGCGCTCCAGTGCGTCTGCGCGGCCGCCGCGGCTCCGGGCTGCAGGGCTCCAGGGCTTGCAGGGCTCCGGGGCTGCGCTCCAGTGCGGCTCCGGGCTGCAGGGCTCCAGGGAGACCCCGCCCGCCCGCGCTCTCCGCCTTCCTCCAGGGCCTTCTGAAACTGTATCCATCAAGGTAGGAGGAGAGACAGTGTTTTCCCCGCCGGCTTACTACCTTACCTTACAGCTTTCAGGTATGGGCCGCACGGGGGGAGCCTCCTTTGCCCTCCGAGCCGCCGCCCTTGGAGTATTGAGGCGGGTCTGGTCGCCAAGAGCGACGGCCCCGCCGTCCCTGCCCGCGTCTGCATCCCGGGGACACCTGCCCGCACGTTTGGACGATCATGCGGCCGCCAGACGGGTGCTTGCTGGAGGGCGCACCTGGTCCTGACCCTGCTTGCCTGACAGTCTGCGCTGCGCATTGCATCGGCCCCTCCCTCCGCCATGTGGCCTCCCTTTACTTCTCAGCCCCCGGCTCCCTAAGCCCGAAGGACTGGACCTCGTTACCTGGACCTACAGGTCACCTGCTTGAGACTGGCCCCCTGAGACTGCCTCTCTGCAGCCTGTGCAGGACCTCAGTTCCTCCCGCATCAAACTCTCTTTTCCCTCTGGGCTTCTGTCCTTCCGCCCTGATGGACACACACCAGTGTTTTCAATGCCACAATTTAAACCTGATCCATAAGAGGAGAAAGAAAAAATCACTCCTGTGCGTCTCCAATTCTGATCTCCTGCCCAGCTGGACTTTTCCATCTGGACATCTTCCCATTACTTCAAAGTCAACCTGTCTGCAAACCAAGTCAAACTAATTCCCCTTGTTGGTCTCTTTATTTACCTGGACACTATTCCCCCTCTTACAACCAGAGGGAACACTTGGGAGTCATCCTTCCCTTTGCCCTCTTCCTAATGTAATAAAATTGGTCAGATCCATCCTTTTTTTTTTTTTACCTTCACAGGCTCACATCTGTGGCTTCATAGCTGATGGGAAACCTGGATTCAGTCCCTGGCTCCACCTCCCACTATCTCTCCTATTATCTCTGTGACCCTCGGTGACCGACTTACCTTTTCTTGAGCCTCAGATTCCTCCTCTACGAAATGTAAATAATAATAAATCCTACCCCCTAAAGTTCTTAGGAGAATTAAAGAAGCTAATATATTTAAGGCACCTCCTCATGTGTCTACCCATAAATAGCATTTAACAGAAATCATTTAACAGCTATGTAGGGAAAACATTAAGAAAGACTATTTAGGGCAGCCCAGGTGGCTCAGCAGTTTAACGCAGCCTTCAGCCCAGGATGTGATCCCGGAGACCCAGGATCGAGTCCCAGGTCAGGCTCCCAGCGTGGGGCCTGCTTCTCCCTCTGCCTGTGTCTCTGCCTCTCTCTCTGTGTGTGTGTGTGTGTGTGTGTCATGAATAAATAAATAAAATCTTTTAAAAAAGAAGAAAATATTTAAAAGGAACAAAAATGGCATGCCTTAGTGGCTCAGTGCATTAGGTATTTAACTCCTGATTTCAGCTCAGGTCCTGATCTCAGGGTTGTGAGATTGAGCCCCACATTGGCCTCCATTCTGAGCATAGAGCCTGCTTCAGATTCTCTCCCTCTCCCTCTGCCCCCTTTCCCCTAGGCCACCCTTGTCCTCCCATGCACTCTCTCTCCTCTCAAAAAAAATAAAAGGATTGCTGGGTGTCCCAGTGGGAAGCTAAACATTATTCAGGTTATCTGATTCTGTGGGGTCTTATCTCACTGCCTTTCATCATCTTTGAGCTATTTTACAATTCCATAAGTTACTGGATATTGACAATAATGCAAATAATTCTTGTCCATAAATATGCAAATTATGTTTGTAGGGATTCTGTTGATTTTTGTTCTGTGGATATTGGCCGGTTTCACCAGTTTTGCATCTGTTAAAGCAGATTTACTTAAGCATTCCTAACTGCCTATGTAGTCTGGTCCTTTGATTACTTCTTTGAATTGGTGGCAACATCTTACTGGTTCCCACATTGATTAATGAGTTAAATGAAAAAACAATTTTAAGATTTTATTTTTGGAGTGCTTGGTGTGCCACAGTCAGTTAAGCATCTGACTTTTGATTTCAGCTCATGTGACCTCAGGGATCAAGCCCTGGATTGAGCATGGTGTCTGCTTGAGATTCTCTTTCCCTCTCCCTCTGCCCCTCCTGCTCCTGTTCTCTCTCTCTCCCCCTCCCTCTTTCTCTCCCCCCCCCAAATAAATAAATAAATATTTAAGAAAAAAGATTTTATTTTTAAGTAATCTCTACACCCAACATGGGGCTCATACAACCCCAAGTCTCACACTCTACTGACTGCCAGCTAGGTGCCCTTTAAATGAATTTTTTGACGTGTGTTCATTTTATATCTGAGAGTCATGGTTATACAATTTTGTTAAAAATTTAAGAACTACCATTAGGTGTTATTAACTTCTCTTCCATTTTGTTTCCAGTACCTAGTTTCACATCTTTCTGATGGACCTATTTCATTTGTTTCCTTATTTCCAGGTCAATAAGTCTGTATTGAAAACTACCATGCCTAGTAATCATTAATGCAAATCAAAGTAATGTGCGCTAAAGGTGTTATGAGCCTATAGATTTATAAACTTTACGGCAGAAGTCCAATTAATGGCAATAGAGGAAAAATTAAGGACTTTTTAAAATTATGCTATGGATGATACACTGCCACCAACTAACATAGATAAGAACATCTGTTCTTTGCTAATCTTGAAATTAATTTTTTTTAGAATTATGAGCACATGAAATAGTTCCTTAGTCTAATTACTTGGTATCAAAACCAATGTATTTGAAATATGCAAATGCTTTTATTCAGTCAAGGTTACAATCAAGGCAAAAGCTCAGTGCTTAACCCCAAAATTAACACTTACAAATAAATGACCACAGACCACAATTTGTTAACTTGGCCTTTAGCTATTGTATTAGTTGTTGTATTTCATTTATAATTGTTGTATCTCATCTATAACAGATGGAGAGTATGTGCTCCCTGGCGATTATAACTGTCTCATCTGTGTAATTATAGATGAAATACAATAACATTTCTTTCCAAGCCCAAAAAGACTGTCCTATGGTTGACTGCTAAATTTTAAAGAGTTATGTCTTACTGTTCTGGAATATTACTCCTCCTCTTATTTTTTCCATGCCCTTTGTCAAAAAGTGAGTTTCACTCTTTATGTTAAGAGTCAGGCTGGGGATCCCTGGGTGGCGCAGCGGTTTGGCGCCTGCCTTTGGCCCAGGGCGCGATCCTGGAGATCCGGGATCGAATCCCACGTCGGGCTCCCGGTGCATGGAGCCTGCTTCTCCCTCTGCCTCTGTCTCTGCCACTCTCACTCTCTCTGTGACTATCATAAATAAATTAATTAATTAAAAAAAAAGAGTCAGGCTGGCTTTCTGGCTTTTACACGACACCTTGAGCACATAAAGGGCCTGAGACAGTCTACACCAGATCATAGCTGGTTAAACCTCCCAGGATAAGAATACTCCACACACTTTCTCCTTCTCCAAGGCCCTCAGGGATCAACTGACTTCTTAGTCCATTTTGTCTTCTTACATGTTTTTCATTTTATTTTTTTTGAGGTTTTATTTATTCATGAGAGACACAGAGAAAGAGAGGCAGAGATGCAGGCAGAGGGAGAAGCAGGCTCTATGCAGGGAGCCCGACGTGGGACTCGATCCCGGGTCTCCAGGATCAGGCCCTGGGCTGAAGGCGGTGCTAAACCGCTGTGCCACCGGGGCTGCCTGTTTTTCATTTTATACATATGTACAAATACACACACATATACACACACACACACATATACACACATTTGCCTATGTTTTCCAGATTTCCTTTAATGATATATATAAAGAATACATATATATATATAAAATATATAATTAAAGGATAAAAAGTATACATATATATGTAGGAAACATGGTAAAATGAGTAATTCAAACAGTTACTGTTTACATTTTGGTATTAGATCTAACCTTTTTTTACTATGCATAGGCTTTTTTGCTTATAAATATTGCATGTACAGTATTACTTGAATAGGCAAACATGGTTATAAACATTGTGCTATTATTTCATTCATTTTAAAACATTTATTGGGGGCAGCCCCGGTGGCGCAGCGGTTTAGCACCGCCTTCAGCCCAGGGCCTGATCCTGGAGACCCAGGATCTAGTCCCACGTCAGGCTTCCTGCTCTGCAGCCTGCTTCTTGCTCTGCCTGTGTCTCTGCCTCTCTCTCTCTCTTTCTCTCTCTCTCTCTGTGTGTGTCTTTCATGAATAAATAAAATCTTTAAAAAAATAAAATAAAAATAAAACATTTATTGGAAGTCCACTCTGTTCCTACAACGTACCAGTTTGCCAGGATTCCAGAGTGAGCCAACAGACATGCGCCGTGTCCTCAAAGAGTGTATTCTTTAGTAGTAGATAAAGACATTTACCCAAAAAAATCACTTCAAATAAATATATAATTATAAAATGTGATAACTGCTATTGTGTTAATAAGGATATAAATTCAGCTGCTCAAATAAAGACACAAAATAGCAGTGCTGTAAACAAGATGAACATTCATTCATTCCTATGTCAAGTAGCAGTTTGGGTGTAAGCAGTCTCAGGCTGCATGGAGATGGGGGAGACCTAGGCCCTTTCAGTCTGGTCATCCCACCACGTGAGGAGTGTAGCCCTCGCCTGTGTTTTGAGACGTCCCTCTAGTAGTTCCACATGGCACCAGTTCAAGAGTGAAAGGATAAGGAGCAAGACACCCTTCTCTTTAAAAGAAATGTCATTTTTGTGCCTTGGCATTTAGCAAAGTGTGTGCTTCTTTAAGCATTAACTAATGAGACTTTCAGTCAGTCTGATACCAAATTTCATCGTGGTGCTGAACATAAACAATGTATTAGATATATGCAAAGTGATTAGGTGGTAAGGAAATGTCTGTGATTTCATTTGGTGACAGGATCATAGTCCCTGCTAATATTTCTGTGCTTTGTTGCCTTTATGCATAAATAAAACAGATGCTAAACTTCAGTTAGCAGTTCATGAAACTACAGATGTGATTTTTTTTTTTCCATTCTAATTCACAGGCTCCGGGAATTCTATCGACAGCTTCTGTAGGTTGAGAACCTCCTACCTGGGGTGCCTAGGTGGTGCAGTTGGTTGAGCCTCTGACTCTTGGTCTTGGCTCAGGTCATGATTTTAGGATCATGAGATGAAGCCCCACGTCAGGCTCCACACTGAGCTCAGAGTCTGCTTGGAGTTTCTCTTTCCCTCTCCCTCTGTGCCCCTCCCCACTGCGCATGCACTCACTTTCTCTTGCATGCTCTATCTTATATATATAAATAAATCTTAAAAAAAACTTTAAATATATATATTATTATATTATATAATAATTATTATAATAATATAATATATAATATATATAAATATATTATATATATTAAATATATATATAAATAAATCTTTTTTTAAAAAAAAGAACTTTCTGCTTTAAGGGAACCCCCAAAATTTGCACATATCACATCTGCCCAAATCCCATTGGTCAGAATTTGGTTTTCTACAAAGGAAACTGGGAAGTAGGTTTTATTCCAGTCAGCCCTGTACCCAGTTAGAAATCAGGAGTACCTATGGTTATTGAAAATGAGAATGGATATTCTCATTCTGGGTTCAGTGAGGTACCCCTAACAAATAAAGAACCTTACACTATGAAAGAGTTTAACAGGGAGTCCTAATCCAGATTATGGAGTCAGGAAACTATCTCAGAGAAAGTGATAGTGAAGCTGAGATCTGAAAATGTAATTAATAATCATAGTGACGACATTTGCTACTTACTGAGTGCTTACCAAGCTGCGGGCGTTCTAGAGTGCTGCCAGTGTTAATTCAATCTCCTGCAACCATACTCGCTTTAGGGTGACTGTTGAGGTTTTAGGACTGCAAGTCCAGCATCCTGGGAAACCCCTCCGTCTGGGGCAAACTGGAGGGTTGCCACTGTGCTGGTGCCATTGTTACCATCCACACTTTACAAAAAAGGAAATCAAGGCATGAAAAGGGTAAGTTGCCCCGAATTACTCAGCTAGTGACTGGCAGAGGCAAGATTTCCATGTAGGGAGGCTGCTCCAGAATCGACCTGCTTAACCACTGGTTTGGTTTGCGTGGGCGGCCATAATAAAGAGCCACAGACTGGGTGGCTTAAACTACAGACTTGTATTTCCTTACACTTTTAGAGTCTAGATGTCCAAGATCAAATTGTCAGCAGGGTTGATTTCTTCGGAGCTTCTCTCCCTGACTTGTAAATGGCCCCCTTTTCCCTGTGACTTTACGTGCTCTTTCCTCTGCGTCTGTGTCCTAATATTATCTTTTATAAGGACACCAGTCTTTGGATGAGGACACACCCTAATGACCTCATTTTTCCTTAATTACACCTTTGCACACCCTGACTCTAAATAACAGTCCCCTTTTGAGGTGCTGGAGGTTAGGACTTCATATGCATTTAGGGGGGATGCAATCCAAGCCCATAACGACTACTATCTTCTGCTACCAGGCAAAGGGGATGGTGTTCCACAAGACAGAACTGCGTGTGCATGAACCCTGAATCAGCAAGAGGTCCGGTGCATTCGAAGAGTGAATGCCTGTGTCGCTGGCATTTACTGAATGTGCAGGAGGTTGGGCCAAGTGAAGGTGGAGAGGTAGGCAGGAGCCAAATGATGTGATGTGTTGTAGGCCAGGTCGAGATGTGAGGATTTTGTCTTAAGTGCACAAGGAAGCCCTCAAAGGGATTAAAGCAGGGGTTTGGCAGACTTTAAAATCCAACTTAGATTTTAAAAGACAGCTCTGGTGTCTCTGGACATGGGGAGACTGGCTGGGAGCTAATGGCAGGAGACTGGGAGCAGTGCAGTGGTGGAGGGAGGTGGAGAAAAGTGGGTGGGTATCCACGGTGAAGGTCACGCCAGTGGAACTTGCTGGTGCATGGAAGGGGTCAGGGAAAGGGAGTCTCCTGCTTCGTCCACCTGCAGAACCCTGTATCCACCTTCCTGCCTTCAAGGAGCCAGGCACCACTCCGCCCACAGAGGTACATCTTCTGAGTGCCCGAGCATGGTGTTGGCACTTCCCTCGGCAGTGATTGGTCCAGGCCAGTGCATGTGTCCCTGCTCTGGCCAATGGCACTTAGGGAAAAGTCTCCCATGGGGCTTCTGAGAAATTTGCCTCGCTAATAAAGGTACGATAAGCCACTTATGAAATATTCTTGCCAGAAGTTTAACATAAATCTAAATCTAATTTTGAAGTTCATGAGAAATGTAAAGACCAGAGGAAAGAAATGAATGGCATCATGAGGAAATACACCAGAATAATTCAAAAGAAAAACACAATGCCATGAGAACCAAGTTGAGGGCATGCTCTAAATTAAAAGGGACCAGAGAAACCTAAAACCAAACACAGTGTATGAAACTTGATTGGATTCTGGTTGTAAAAAGATAAGTAATAAAATACATTTTAGGGGCTACTGAGGAAATTCTAACTTGGACTGAATATTAGGTGATACTAGGGAATCACTGTTAATTTTTCTTAAGTGAGCTGTTATTGTGGATCTGTAGGAGACATTCTTAGTCAACATAGGCTGATGGGGCATGTGGATGGCTCAGTCGGTTAAGCATCTGACTGGCTCAGTTGTGATCCCGGGGTCCTAGGATCGAACCTGACGTCAGTGTTGAGCTTCACACCCAGCAGAGTCTGCTTGGCCTTCTCCCTATGCCCCTCCAACCCCCAGCGTACCCTCCACTCAGCCTTGCTGTCTCTCTTAAAAAAATAAATAAAATTTTTTTAAAAAAAGGAAATATAGGCTGAATCCTATAGAGGTACAGTGTCATGATGTCTGCAACTTAATTTCAAATGCTGTAGGAAAAAGAGTGAAGGAGAGAGATTGAGCAATCGTGGCCTGTGGCAAAAGGTTGTCAATTGTTGAATCTAGGTAGAGGGGATAAGGTTCATCATTGTACTGCTCTCAGCTTTTCTGGTGTCTAAAATTCCTCCACGTGAAGAGATGAGGGGGCAGAGATACAAGGAAGACGCATACCTCTTCTTCCTCTAGATATTGGCAGTTTTGAATGTGCCACTTCCAGCTGGAGCAGCCATGGTGGGGCCATGAGGGAGACTAGCATCTGGCTAGTGAGCATCTGGCTGAAATGCTGACCTGGCTCTGGGGACCTGCTGACATTAGCAAGTCAGTGCGTTTTCGGCCTTTGGAGCTGCCTTCCTCTCTGTTATGTGAAGTAATCTATTTTCCTTACTATTTAAGCATTTTGAGTTGAGCCATTATCTCTAGCGGAGATAGGAAAAAACCTGAAAATAGAATCATCGGGGCGGGCTGCTGGGAAGCCAGGAGACAATGGTGGTAGAGATATAAATCGTGATTCGTATACAGTGCTGCTCTCTGCTTGCTAAAATATAATATGAGTTTTCCCATATCGTTAAGATTTACTTATAGACATTTTTAATATTTTGGAATAAGTAATATGTTCTGTGGTAGATTAAATAAGGGTACAGATTTTTTTTTAAGATTTTATTTATTTTTTAGCAAGAGAAAGCA